ATTTACTTGTAGACCACTCAGTGTATAGTTAAAGTTATGTATATAATTCAATAGAATTGGCATCTTCTAGTCCATAGTCGTAGACAAGTTTTCACTTTGAAGGCGTTTTCTTTCTAAAAAGGCCGGCTTGGCCAGGTGGTTAGCACGCTCGACTCGCAATCTGAGGGTCGCGGGTTCGAATCCCCGTCCCACCAAACATGCTCGCCCTTCCAGCCGTGGGGGCGTTATAATGTGACGGTCAATCCCACTATTCGGTGGTAAAAGAGTAGCCCAAGAGTTGGCGGTGGGTGGTGATGACTAGCTGCCTTCCCTCTAGTCTTACACTGCTAAATTAGGGACGGCTAGCGCAGATAGCCCTCGTGTAGCTTTGCGCGAAATTCAAAACAAACAAATCCTTCTAAAAAAAGCATTACGTGAAGTTGCAATGGTCATTCTGAAATGAAATAAAACTGAATAAATGGATATCACCTGTTGTTTGTATCATTACTTTGATAAACATAATTAATTCACAGAATTAATGATGAGGTACAAAGCCCACAGAATATTGTGATTTGAAAAGGAAGCAAAGAAGTTTTAACACAATGTTGGCAATTTTTTCTTTTTTTCTTTTCTTTTTTTGGGGGGAGGGCTGTTCAAGCACCTACCTATTTATGGTCTTGTAGTGGATCTGTTTTGTCATAAAACGTTTCACTAAATGCCGTTCGAAATGAAATGAACATAACGTTTATTAGTAGTCATTTTCTTTTTAATTTAAGGATATATAGACAGATAGATAATTAGTCAGGTCAATTGACAGATTTATTTTTGTCCATATTGCTTTCCATAACAAGTTCGGTTTGAATAAGAAACCTCGAACTTGTAGCAAATCTCAGCTTACTGACGGTAGGTGCCATGTTTATGTTACCCTGTTTCTCAACTTAGAAATTATACGACTACTGCTAAAAGTCGTAAACCTGTTTGTTTTTTATTTTTTAGTTAATTAATTTAAAGCAATCAGATTTAAGTACTCTCATTTGTGAAGACACTGCTCACACGAAAAACCTAATGTATTTTCAAAATTCATGTAAGATTGATTAAACGTTTTATATATTTGTAAATATTATAATGAAAGTAAATAAAATACTCATTCTTTGTTTGAGTTTGTAAAAGTTTGCAACTAATGATACTTTGAATATGATAATATTAGTATATTAGTAAAAGCAGTATCTAAAAGTAAAACAGCATCCTTCCTACTCCTAGTAGTAGCAGTAGACTGTTTCACATGGTGTTTGGGAAACCGAAAGTAAGAAAGTTTTCACTTCAGCCTAATCCGAAGGAGGCAGACTAAACCAATGAAGTTTTAATTTTAAAATGTTTAATAATTAATATTGGTTGTATGTAGAATATGCATACGTACGTAGCCTGCTTACTGTCAGTGAATTTATTAGATGTCATAGCAGAATCCTTGGAAGAATTTTTCCTTTTATTTTAAGAATATCAATGCTAACACACTATATTATAATTTATATATATATATATTACTTTCCTCATAAAATTTCGACTTACTTTGCACGTAGTAGGCTAAACCTTATTAGGTAGGATCAATAAAATTTTGTAAGTGTTGTTATATTATAAAAAAATATAAATCTGATTGGCTGAATATATGTTGAAGCTTTGGTGACAGTAACTGTATGGACTGAACATGTGAATGTGGAAGGAATATATGTCTTGAACATTGCAGTGTTTAACTTAAACTTTAAGGTTTCAAATTTACTGTGTCATGGCTGTTAAGAAGATGAAGCTGCCAAAATAGACTTCAGAAACACATGAATCCAAGTAATAGCATTTGAAATAAATATTCTTTTTATTGCAGTTGTTATTCTTTATCTTTTTATAATATAATTATTTTGATGTAGGAGATAAGAGTCATGATCAGAAGGGTTAATAATGCAGTTTCTGAGAAGGAGGGCCATTTTGGTACAGAGACAGAAGGGGAGAAACAACTCAGGAGTATTGTTGATAAACAGCTTGATACAAAAATTTCTCTTCAACAGTATGTAGAAATAGTTTTGAATGCACTCACTTTTGTAGATTTTTGTTAAAATGTGTATGTAGCAATCACAGTTTTCTGTTACTGCAGCTATTAATATTTCTGCTTTTAAAAGTATGCATGATATATAAAAAGAAAACAATGGTTAAATCTTTGTAAATTTAATTATATGTTATACCTAATTGTTTAAAAAGTGAACAAAAGATTACTATCCTATCATTGTGTTGAACACAGTTTTTATCTAGAAATAAAACATTTTAATCTTACAAAAGTTATAGTTTGTCACCAAATTTTAAATTTGTGTGAATGCGTTGCTTACTTTACAATACATTAGAAGTTATTTCCGTTGTCTCGTTTTGGTCTCTCTTTTTTTTTTAAGTTAATGTGTGTGACATATTTTGTACATATGTGTAGTGATGACTGAAGACCCTCAAAAAAGTATTACTGTATTCCACAAATTGACACCTAGCTATTGTATAATGCTCAAACTTAAATGCAACAGCTCTGGGTGAAAATCTAATTGAGGCTAACAGAAATATGTATATTCACTTGCATTTCATGTTATATGTTAAATTTTAAGCTCATTGTGGATAATCTTAATTATATTTAAGAGAAAGCATCACTGCATTTATACCAGCCCTTTCTTTGGTTACATAATATATCTTTCTCTCGATGCTGGTCATATGTTCCCCTAAAATAATCATTAAAGAATTTATAGAATAACATTGTGGCTGTTTCATCCACTTAAAAAACAACTCAAATCCAACCTCAATTATTTAAATATTTAACAAGTCTTCTCATAAACTTCCTTAAATTTACTGTATTCACCACATGTGAATGCTACCAATTCAAAGGCCTACCACCTTGTTAGAAAACTAAGTCTGTCTAAGCTGAAGATGATTCTTACCCTGCCCAAACTTGTATTTGTGTTCAGTGTTCCCTCTAGGCTGCACAGCTGCACAACAAACAGTCAAGTGCTGTGCACTTCATTATTTGAGCCATGCACATCCTAAGTAATGGTGAGGAATCTAAACATGTTGATGCCTTTAATGACCCTGGCAGTCAATAGGCCTAAAGCCCAAATAACCAACTGGTAGCATTGCAAATGGGCATAATGATCCAAAAGGGTTGATGGTCTAAAGTACTACCTGCCCCTAAAAAGAAACTGGTAGCACACATCCACACATTACTTTGATACTGGTGCACATAAAACAATTCATTCCGCACATGGATTGAAAAAATTAGAGGGATCGTTTGTAAGGTAGGGAGCCCAAGATGAAACACAAAATCAAATGAGGCCTAACCAGTGACTTATACATGTAATATTGAAATTATAACCTTTTTAGACTTGTATTCAATGTTTCTTTAAAAATATCCTAAAATCCTACCAATTGCCCTACTACTTGGATGTTTTAAAAAACTGATCCACCAAAGCACTAAACAATCCCTCTTCCATAACTCTGTTATTTCCATCAAAATTTTGTTTATAATTTAAATTATGATAACCTACATATATTACTTTGCATTTATTATTTGAACCATTTTTAAAACTTGTTTTTTTATTGTAATGTAAAAAAAAACAGCTTTGAAAAATTCAAGTACAATAGAAATTGTATATTTTATTCAGTCAGTGACACTAAAAGAAGTGAGAATCATGTAATAAAACACTGGCATGTGTACTTGTAAATAATTTTAGAATGAAAGAGTGGGTGAATTTAAAATTTATTCAAGATTGACATTTCATCATGTGCACATTGCTCAAGCAATATGTGGTTTTCTTAAAACATATTATTAGAAAAAGAACATTAATTTTTTTTATTTTCAGGCAGCTTCAGCAACATAAAACATTTTCTCATTCTGGAGATTTTAAGGAAATTTCTGAGAGACTCTCAGGAAAGCGTACCATGAAAGAATTTCAGCTGATAGAATATTTATTAGAGCAAAAAGAAGAACTAAAGAATTGTGGGCTTACTGAAGAAGAGATAAATACCTATCTAAGTTTTCTTGGAAAACTGGTGAGTTAACAATGTATGGCACTGCACATTTTCTGAATAAAAGTTAATGGCTCATTCGTATAATAAGTCATTGAGTTTAGTCATTGGTCAGCTGTACTTTCGAATAATTTGGATGGTATCAAATTATTTGCTAGACATTCTTATAATTCTTTTGACTTCCAAAATGAGTCAGACATGTAATTAGGTTGAAATGTATACTTCAGTATGACATAAGATATATGTAGAATAACTTTTTATACACAAAGCTATATGTTTAGTTACGTTAACCCATTTCAGCCTAGGGTGGGATACTGAGATCACTTGATTTATTCTTTCTCACAGTGGAAATACTGAACCAAATTACGTGAAATTGAAAACAAACTTCCTAAATATTAACCTCACATGTGTGAGTGAGTGTGTGTGTGTCTATGTCTATATATAAACACATATATAGATGAATGACCAGATTTTAAGATACATGCATATAATTTGAGGACAACAAGGGAACTGATGGTCCATCTAGGTCATCCCTTTTCACTATACTCAACTCTAAAATAAAAGTAAAGCACTCAATAACAGCCCTTATCATTGAAATATTTATCAAGCTTTACCTTAAATTTCCTTAACCCTTTTGCTGCAGGCAGGTGAAAGGCCACATATTATGACATTTTAGAGAGTTATTTTCAAAATGTTAATAAATAGCTTTGCTATTATTTATGACAAAGGAATTCACATTAAAACGATGGTATATTTCAAATTTTAATATTTCATGTGTTTTAATTTCTTAATTTAAAAGAAAATCTAAAGAAAAAATAACTTATTTTTTGAGCATCACATAGCATTTCTTGTTGTGTTATTGTTCTGTTTCTAATTAATTACGATTATGTGTGCAGTAGTTAACAAATTAGAAACTCAAATTGAAGATATTGTATTGACAAGTTATAATTAAAAATAAGAACCTTCTAGCTCTTGGATTTGTGGAAATGTCAATATATTTAACCAATCTAGTAGTTTGGACTCCTCCCACTAGTCCATTCTTTCAAACCTCTTGTCTAGTCCCACATATTTTATTTTCTATGAGTTTATTACCAATAGAAAGAGTAGTTACTTTTGTACATAAATCTTATAGCTGTTTGTAAACAGCTTGAAAGAGAAAATCATAATTTCACCAAACTCTTGAAGTATGATTAAGTTGTTGCTCTGAAGAGAAATGGAATTTTTTAAAACTCGTATGGAGCTTGTTTAGACACCCAAATAAATTACAGGGATTTTGTGTGCACTAATATAGTAAGTTGATATTTTTTAAATTTTCTTATTTGTGTATTTGAAGTGTCAAAAACTTAATAGCTCTACACCCTTCACTCGGAAGAATAAACAAGGCTTATGGCAAGGCTTAGCATGTACGACGCTTGACCACAAAGTCTCATAACCACTGTAAGTACTCAAAAACTTTGTTTTTTGAAGTATATTTTCTTTATGTTTGTAGGTTTTAAGAGAAGTAACTAAAATTTAACCATTTGTGAATAAATAATAACAATATATATATAAATACATATGTAATGTAAGGTAGCTGAAATTTCCTTATATTTCACAAAATACTGGTATTATAGTTAGAGATTTGTAATTTGACTTTGTAGGCTCATACAGTTATGCCTATTGAATTTGTATTATTTTTCTAATTGTCTAAATTCAGGTAAAATAGAAGCAAATTATGCAACACTAGAAGCTAAGACAACCTGAAAAAAGTTATTCATAACATTTTAGAAAGATACAATACTTTACAAATGTCTTCAGAATAAAGTTATGCACAAATGGTATACATCTCTATAATGAATAATGCCCATACAAATTGCATGAAATAATACGAAGTTATACACATTCTAACATGCAAAATGTATACAAATGTTGACACATGATAAAAGGAACAACCAGAATGAAAGGATCAAGAATGTAAAGAATTAAAAAAAAAAGTTGTAAATAGGAAAACTGTATCAATGAATGCAAATTTAGATAGGTATTTTACTACAAACATTTTAGATGTTGTAAACTGATTTTGACACATGAAAGGGAGCATTACTATATGAATAACAAAAGAAAATTTTACAAAATATTTCAGTCAAAATTCAATGAAAAAAGTTAAAGTAAAAAATATAAACAAAGGAATAGAGCAGACACTTTTAGATAAAGAATTAACTTCTTTGAAGAGTAACACTAGTGTGATACTCTTGATAATGTTTAATACAAAGAAATTCATTACAAAGTTTACATTTGATTGTTATTTTCTGGGAGGCACAGTCTGCATCTCTTCTTGTGACTTCTATGAACAGTTGTTGGGAAGTGCTTGCCAAGAGTGAGTCACAGGGGTGATGAGTCCTGCACAGTTCTTGTAAGTGGTATACCAGAAGGACCTGGTCTGCTTTGAAGTAGAGGCTCAATAAGAGCTGTGATCTTCTGGGACAATGCTAGCTGATTGGTTTGTTATTTATACAGAATGTAAGCATTTATAACTGTCAAGTCCAAAAGTAAAAAAAACAAAGCATTTTTTTTTACACCATTTTATTGTCCTTCGTCTAGTAGAATATTAACTTAAATGTTTGTCATTCGGGCTCACTCCTCCCCTAAACTTGTTGTAGTGCACAATTAACACAATTAACTCCCTCTTCTTGTCACAGTTGTCATAGTATTAGGTTTTAAAATTGAAAGTGCATAGATGTCTCGTTTCTCAGTCTATTCACAGCTGTCAGAGTTTGACATTTACAAAATTGTGCTTACCCTCTCTGTAGGTTTGTAGAAACCAGTTGCTATGGGAAATACAGTCTGTCTTTCTTGTGTCCCACAAGCATAGGTTCCCATGGTTAGTAGTTTGTCAAATAGACGAGGGGAAGTGTAAAAGTTGTACATGGAAACCTAGTGGCCTATTCTGTTGTACTTGTCCATCAGTTCCCTCACAACATTGTCTGCTAAACCTTCAGCTGGCATTTGTCCCTCTTTGCCTGTGTAGATTTTACACTTCTACCAGGAACCACAACTTGATACCCCACTTGTCAGGTTTCTTTGGTAAATATTTAAGGAAACCAATTCTACATTTTGTGCCCATCATCTGTTCATCTATAGTTAGTTCTCTGTTAGAAGAATAGTTGGAAACAAAAGAGACAGTATATGATAGGTCTAACCTTAAAAAAAATTATCATAGTTAGGGTCAGTTCTAGGAAGAGCATTAGTATTGTTATTGAAATGTAAGTAAGTGTGGATAGCTAAAAACCTGTTCCTAGAGAAGATATTAGTAAGTCAAGGTAGACCAATAGTCAGAAAGAGAAGGATAAGGCTTTAGTCCCATTTTTAAAGTTCAGAATGTGTAACATCAGTCCATTTGACTTTTTTTTTTTAGTAGACCACCTTCTTGCTGTGCCTGTCTATTGTTTTCAAACTGATTTGTTTCCTTCACAATTATACTTAAAGTTTCTACAGTAAATAAAAGTTTATAGAAATAAATAATTATATTCAAAGAGGTGAACTGTCTGGACACAAGTTCACCTCTGTTGAATGGAGGTATGTTGAATTGCTCCTCCTTGGTGATCTGCACCCAGGTCAAGTTATCATTGCAGGCGAGAAGCTTCTCCTGCTGAGAAGGGATAGTTCTAGTACACACTGAAGCTCTACCCTTTTCTAGCCCTGCCTCTTTTCTGTGGTGATGGTGTTGCTTGTCTATATGTACCTGGCCTGAGTGGTTCTGGTACATCTTCATCTGATGACAATCTAAAAGTTACTTCTTGATCTGTCCATAAGACAGAATCAAGAAGAGCTGGTTCTACCTCAGGCCATCTTGTTTTATACACCAGTTCTGTCAGAGGTATTGCAACAGAAGCATCAGCTTCCTCAACTGCTGATTCCTCTTACAGACTGCCTCCTTTATCAGAAGAGAAAAATACGTACAGGAGAAACTGTATCTCTTCCTCATTGAGAAGATTCTTCTTTCTCAATTCCTGGTACTTAGCTTTCAGTTCTCTTTTAGCTTCCATTTCTAGAAGAAAAAAACATTACATATATATTACATTATGCATGAAGTATTCTCCATTGTGTAATATTATTATATGATGTGTATTAGTTCTTTATATGTATATATATATATTCTGTGATGTGTATTGTAAATTTCAGAGGCAGTATATTTTATGCTAAAATACAGAAACAGCAACAATGGATTTTGGTCAACAACTATATACTAAAAATATTGAACGGAGATTCCAGATGTATTATAAATAATAATTACTTACTTCTAGGTAAAAGTCAGTAACAAGGAATATGTTTCTAGCAGAATGTATTCACTTGGTAACAACTTGTCTATGTCTTCCAACAAAGTATAGAGAAATAGCCAAAGTCAGAGTGCTTGACTGAATTTGAACGCTTGCAAAACAATAAGTGGATTTGACACATGAACGTTTATTGGTTGATGAATAAGTTTGCTGAAAGAGAAGTAGGATTTCACAACCATGTGCACCAACAAGATCTTTGTATACCTATATAGTATACCGCTAAATTTTTAACATTCCAGAAGGATAATCAATATTCCAAGAATTGCAATGTTTATTGTATCAGCACCGAACAATATAATAAAAGTTTTGACAGATTCAAAGTGCAATCTTATTACTCTGGGGAATACTTGTAAACACTTTAGGATACATACATAAACCAATAAATTCCACATCCTGTTGTCGGTATAAATGTTTTTACTAATTCTAAGTGCAGTATGATCACTCTAGTTGAATTTTCTAGTAATCACTGTAGGATATATAATCTGAAGATACATTAGAAATCCTGTTCTCGGAGCAGGGGTTAAGTTGTCTGTCTCTTCATGTGTGCTTTGTTGCTTTTGAAGGTGTCATATTACTGTTTCACGTAAACAGTCTACTGACACAAGCAGCGCTTTATTGCTCTATTTTCAGCTGATTTCTATTTCAGTTGTAGACAGTAAAATACACATAGAAAATAAATGTGAAATGGTTAGCAGTTGAAACTCTTAAGAGAAGTACTGTGAAATTTCATGGACAATAATCAAGAAAACAGAGCACAACTGCTCATTTTATTTCTGATTTTACAACTTTTCTTTCCATTATACAGGTAATAAAAGATGAAATATAAAGTTTTACTACAAATAAAAAGTTTCATATTCACTTAGCAATCACGAAAAAGAATGTTGAATCTTTTGAGACAATAAGAATTATTTTTAATGTTTACATAAAAATCGTTTTGCTCTTGGACTAGTAAAAAAAATATTTGATTCATTCACGGACAAATTGTTAGCAAAAATACTTCATTAAAAACTTTTTTTTTTGTACAAATGACATGTAATGTTTATTAAAAGTCTGCCATATATTGTGGAAGTACACATAGTGTATTAAAAGTTATAATATTAAAACTTAATACAAGTAAAAATGGTCATGTGTTCAGTCCTCCTTTTTTTTCATTCATAAATACATATAACTTTAAAAAAATGTGTGAATAATCCAAACCTTTAGCAAACAGACAAAAATGATTTAGCGATTTGGGTTAGATTCTTTGTGGTTCGAATAAGATAAGTAATTACAAAAAGGAAGCCATTTAAAACTGTTGACTGAAAACATGAAACACACTTTAATTATGATATACATCATACTTTTTTAGGTGCCAAAATTAACATCTCAAATTTTTCATATGACATTTGTACATATAATTTGATAACATAATCAAAATTAAATTTTCTTTTGGAACAACTGAAGACTAGGTTTGGGAATGAAAGTGGGAACTACCTTTTAAAGTATGTGGAATAGTGTTTTTGGGTTTATTTTTTCAGCAAGGAAATCTGTCTTCTAGAGTATCTTAATACTGTTAACTTGAGTTATTTTAAATTCTTGCATCAGTATTTATGATTCTACATACTTTATCACAAATAGCTGTATTCGTAAGATCATGATTAAACTTGTGATATACCCAGAAAATCTTATAGGCTACCAAGGATATATTTTTTCTGTAGTTATTATTTGATTGTGTGAACTTGTTCTCATACATATCAATACAAGTTCATTCAGTAATGAAATTACATTAACATTCATTATGTATAATATTTCAAGGAAGTTGACTCAAGATTATTTCATTTTTGTCATGTTTATGAAGGATGTGTATGGAGATTTATAAACAAAAAACATTAATTTCTTTTGTTTCTTATTCATTTTTATAGGGTGGAAAGAAACGTTATCTTTCTATGGAACCATCTATTCAAAAGAAATGGCTGAAAGAAATTAAGGAAAAAATTTGCTCACATTATAAAACAATTAATGAAGTTCCCAACAGCAGCATGATCAAACAGCTAACCCGCCAAGAAATGGATATTGAGAAGACTCTCTATGCTGGTTGTGAAACTAAGAAGCATCTTCAGTTTTTAGTCACTTCCAGAGAAATGTCACAGCTATCTTCTGATGATCCATTTGCTTATATTAGCTGTTTAGCCCAACAAATTGGACAGAAGAGCTCCATGATTAGTGATCAGAATGAATATGACAGTCATACAAAGCTTCAACAAAAACATAGCTGTTCATTCTCACAGAACAAAAAATGTTGTAATGTAGACTGTAAAACGGAAACTGATTGTGAACAGGAGTTTGATGATGTAGATTCTAAAACTAAAACCAATTTAGCACCAGGAAAAAGTTCTTCAGAAATAAAACTTTGTGACAAAGACCTTGAAATAAAAGAAAGTCTAACATCAACAAAGAATTCTTCAGTGTTTCATGTCAGTGTTCCACTTAAAGAAAAAGAAATCAGAGAAAACAAACTAAGCTTGGATGAAATTAGGAAGTTACCTAGATTTAGTGATTACCATCCAGGGAAAGAGAGTCAGGTTTGTTTTTCTATTTTTAACAAAGCACTTTATTAATGTTATACAATATTTTATTTTTATTGATGTGATATAATTTCATGTATTTCTAATAAAAAAAAAAAAAGGTGTGAAAATCCACTTTTATTGATTACACTTTCCTATTAATTATAAGGGCTTGTAGTTAATGCTGTTTGGTGGCATTCCCTTCCATGTTCTTTCTTTCATTTTTTAACTTTATGGGAGGTTATCCAACTACAGAGGTTGAATATATTATATTAAAACAATACTGATTATGCAAATCAGCAAGTTTAATGACAGCTCATAGCTGATATAAAGTTGTGGTGGAATGGCAATTATCAAAACTACATTTTGATAGTGTTTGGCTTTTCATAGACAATGTTAGGCCAATAAAAACCAATCCCTATTGGAAAGGGTATAAATAGCTCTTTTTGACATAAAATATTAAAATATTCATATGTTTAGGTCACAAAGATGTGTTCAGATAACAGATTTAGAATTTGCATGATGAAGACCTCCCTTGTAATTGGTGATATTGGAAAACAAAGGAATATGGAGCACCAGAACCATCAAGAAAGAGACCTGCAACAAGCCTATCTTAGCCTTGATAAGCAAAGTGTACCATCTTGTAACATTTGAGGATCCACAAATACAAAGGTTAGTGACAAAGGCTATCCACATACTCCAGGCAACAGTATTCAATGTAATCAAAAGGAATATACATCTGGAAATAAGGCCAATGGGGTATAGATTCATTAAGATATGGTTTCCTGTCATACCTCCTGTTCAACAGTCACATACCACAAAGAGCTGAAGAATGTAATGGATGTTCTTGCTATTTGACCCAAAGACATACCGTTCACATTACTGGATGCACTGTCTATGAATGTCTCTGTCATAGGACTATTGGAAATTTTGCTGGAAAGCCATTGTCCTTGTACACTAGATGGGTTATGGGAAACTTTGCAGTAAGGAGTACTGTACTTTGGGCACAACAACCTTATAATGAAGCTCTTTGCAAAGAAACTGTGCTGCAGGGCTGTTGTCAAGATGCATGAGGCTTCAGAATTGTTTTGATATAATGTACTCAACCCACTATATAACTTGCATTTACTTGGTATTCATGTAACTTTATCAAATAATAAGTCTTGAAAAAACAACTATTTCACTGTTTCTGGTTCATTCGATAAAGTTCAGTGATATTTTTTTAGTATCATTGATTCAGTATGTCAAACAGTGCCCATGTATGAGTAAACTGTAATGGATTGCAACTGCCTGTTGTAAAAAGCACAGTTGTAGAGGACGATGTTTTATTTTCTGGTCTTGAAATGTTGTCCTCTACACTTGTGTTTTTTACAACAGGCAGTTGACATCCATTCCAGTTTACTTCTCATAAATACTCTGCCTAACCAGTCTACCAAAGAGTACCCATGTATCTTCAGTTGTTGCAAGGTTGATATTGGAATAAAAGTTATGGCAGCAAACAAAAAATGCAAGTAATCACTATTAGTTCAGAATGTAAGAGCATCAAGCTGTTGTCAAAGAAAAGCTCCTAATTCTAGTTATGCTAAAGGGAAACTTAAAAAAGTTCTAAAATGAGCTTGTATGATCTGCATACTTTGGAAAATTAGTTTTTTCAGATATTTATATGAGATTGTTTATTCCAAAAATAAGAATTAGAAATTAAAAAAGTAAGAGATTTAAACATACACAGTGTACCATTAAATAACAAGATGCCCACTCCAGAAGGAATGTTGCTTTATTAAATAAACCAGGGGTGTCCAAACTATGGCCCGTGACTTTCGTTTATCTGGGCTGCCAATAGTTTATTAAAGTAATAATATAATTTTTGAATATTATAAAAACAAAAAATAAAACGTAATTGAGCAAAATCCAATATGATCATGTATGCATTCCTACTTAATTTTACCACAACCCCTCCAGCCGCAAAGCCTAAAAAGATCTACCTTGTCCAAAAAGAATTGGAGACCCCTGAAATAAACAAACATGAAACAAAGGGTACATGATTAACATTAATATGTAGTGGATCTTCACTTTGCAGTATTTACCATATTTTTCGGAATATAAGATGCACCCTTATTTTAAAGACAAAGTTTTGGGGGAAAAAAGCTACAGTCGCATTTGAAAGATTTTTTATTGAACAAAAATTCAATTTGATACTTTAGAAATTAGTATATATTGTTTTAAACACAAAAGAGCTCAAAACATCAAAATAACAAAATACCATAAATCAAAAAAGTTTACTGCTATTTAGTTTGGTTCAAAACCTACAAAACTTCATTGCTTTCACTGTATATTATTTTTCTATTATTTAGGGAGCATTATAAATAGTTATGTTTTTAAAAGAAAAAAACTACTATTGTTATAAATAACACATTCAATTGAACTAAACTATGCATGCCTATTTAAATATATTTACACATGGCTTGTGTATATCGTATATATACATATATATTATTCATGCATTCGGTGTATAGGACTCAAGCAGATTTTGACATCAAATTTTGGAGTAAAAAGTATGTCTTATACACCGAAAAATTTTGTAATAAAAAAACATTATTACACATCATAACTAGAACATCTGAAATTTCGGTCACTGTGATTGCAACTCACTCCAGCCAAAGACCTAGGATGAGGATATCCCTAGAATTTGATTGTTTAGAAGCTTTTGCAGGAATTTCTCAAACATGGACCATATACATGTTTGATAGGATTTATATCTGATGATTGGCTTGGCCATGGGAGAGTGGTAATACCCTGACCTTTAAGCCATCATTTTGTGACTCTGGTTGACCTCTTCTTGAAACACTGCCTTATCTGGTAAGCTGATCATTAGCATAGACAAGTAAAAGGCTTTGCTCAAGAATTGTGAAGTTTTGAGCAGCAGTGACTATTTATGTTCTATAATCTTTACTAAGCTATACCTGTATTTATGTATTGGTATTTTTTGCACATGACATTAAAGAAGTGATTGACTTATATTGTCATGGGTGTCTGTTTACTTATTGATAAGCTGTATATATGTGTGTTTTTGGTGTTCTAATTTAGCTGTAAGTTAAAAATGGTAATATTACCAAAAATTTTACTTGTAGTTTTAGTAACAAGAGTAACTTGTACTTCATAGCATTCATGTGACTGTTAGAAGACTAATGATTTTATATGTTTTTAAGATAACAAAAAGAAATAGTTATTGGTAGTTGAATATTTAGTAAAATATCATTATAATTTCATGGTTAAACATTTATAATTAAGAACTTCTTGCTCACTTAAGTAATGATAAAGTACATTTGCTTTATAATATTTACTGTAGTTAGATGTTATTTAAGTACTGTTGTAATTCAGTTGTCATTTAATAAATCACTTTTCACATCAGCTTTTTTAACACCCATCAAATGAGGCAGGGTAACAGTTTACTGATGATTGAAAAAATCAAGCCATTCTGGTATCACTTGTTTCATTGTATGAATTTCATATGGAATTAATTTTGAAAAAAAAACGATTTAGCCAAATTTTGACTTTTAGGCTCATCAGGAACACTTCAAGCTCACTCCCTCAAGTCTAGAACATCCAAGTTGGTTTAAGAATCAAAGCTTGTTTGTTGAAATATACACAAAAGAATGGTATGAGTCCTTTAATGTGTAAATGCAAGATAAACATTGCATCAACTGTACCAGATGTAGTAGACGTGACTGTGAATGTGATGAATTGTCAATTGAAACAAAACTTGCATGGACGATAGGTAGGAGATAGCCAATAATCTCATTAGGAAAAAAAAAAGTGCCCAAAAAGCAGGGATTTCTTGCATTGGGTTGACGAACACAGAAACCGAAGATAACAACAATGAAGGTATGCAGCAAATGGAATGAGCTCAAGTTTGTAGCAGTTCTGTTGTGCAAAATAATGAACAAGATAAAGACAGGGGAGATAATAAATCACCTACATTGGGGGAAATGGTAAGGTATCTTTCAATGGAAAGAAGTATTGCAAATAATCTACCAAGTAAACATGTTCAGCGGACTGAAGTTTAGCTGTCTGAGAAGGAAAAGAGGGCAAGAACTATGCCATTTTGCATTGCAGCATTGAAATGATGCCTTTAGGAGCTTCAGTGATTTTCATGTTTCAGAACCAGAAATACTACACAATTTGGAGAAACATACCAGAGAACTCAATACAAAGAAAAGTATTGCTGGCTCCATTTGTGCACATTTTTTACCTACAAGTTGAATTTTGGAATTGTGTACTATTTGATATAAGGCAATTGAAAGCTCAAGAGATGTTCCATTTATTGAAGAATTGTAATGGCTGCTTCCTACTGTTAGAATTGTCCATCTATATAAAGAGTATTTGGTGATACGTGCTGTGAAGTGGGTTTTATCTTCTCAAAATATCCAAATATTATCATGAGGCATAAAAACTGTAAATATTGACAGTGAGAAGAAACACCTGCCATGATTTACAAGAAAGAAAATACAGGAGTACATATATTGGGACTACCTCTGAATATCTGGAGAGATTGGATCATATAGGGTATTCATCATTTATTAAAATTGCAAAATCACTGACAGATTTTGATATGAAAACAAGAAAGGTTTTTGTTATGTATCAGGTATTTTTCTGTACAATAATTTATGCTGTACTTGAGAAAGTAATTGGGTCTATTCTTGACCCTCAGATGGTGGATGAATGTTGGAAATGTCTTTGGAAAACTGAATGTTCTCTGAAAATGACATATGACAAACACATAACATCTTCAAATGATGCCAATTGTCATATTACATACTCAACACTGGTAAAGATATTGCAGCAAACATGAATAATGGGTGCAAGCTTTGTCAACTGCCTTTTGAAGAGCTTAAATATCTGAACAATGAACAACCAAATAGATAAAGAACATCACAGTTTACTGAACAATTGCAGGCACATATTCAAGCTATATATGGCTCATAATCTTCGAATCAAGACTGCTGTACAATTTATCCAGT